TAGTGCCACGTCAGCAGTGCCACGTCAGTAGTGCCATGTCAGCAGTGCCACGTCAGCAGTGCCCCGCCACCATGACGGGCGCAGCTCTGGGCATGTCAGGCCAACTGGCCAACGAGTCTATTGCCGACTACAAACAGCGGTTCTAGACTCAGCTCGCAATGATCGAGGCTGAGAAACAGCGCCAACTGGCAGCCGAGGCTGCCCGCCTACAGGCTGAAGCAGTGGCAGCAGCTGAGAAGCAGCGGCTCCAAGCCGAAGCTGAAGCAGATACCCAGGCACGCCGCAAGGAAGCCCAGGATCTGTTGCAGCGGCAAAAAGCTGCCAGCATCGAAAGACTCAAGTTCTGGCACTTTCAACCGTCCAACGGCGACGACGCGACACCGGAGGAGAAGTACAGGGAATTCATGGCCAAGCTCATAACCAGGTTGGTTTACACTTGTAACCACCTGCAGTTTGAGTTGGCGAGCCTCCAGCGGGCCGTACAGAACCACAAGGCTCAGCACGAGGATGCAGCACGGGCACTAGATTCCCGTGTGCAGGAATTGGAGCAAGCAGCACCAAGACCAGAGGTTGGCGAGTCCAGCAGTGCACCCTCTACCCGCCAACTGGAGGAACGCGCCGACCACGTCGTCGCAATGCTTGGCGACATCAGCACCTTTGAGGCGCCAACCTCCATCAGCAAATAGCTGGATACCTCGAAGACCGAGGTTCAACAACTGCAACTGCCTAACAAGGATGGCAACAGCACAACGCATTACAAGATGTCGACGTTCCAAATTGAGAAGTTCGATGACTACACGCATCAAGACCCGGTCATCTGGTGGGAAGGCTTTACGACGCAACTTCGGATTCTGTTCGTCGCCAAACACGAGTACATCAACGCCCTGTTTCTGAACTCAAAGGGTGGATGCCAGACCTGGTTGAGCCACCTAGCATCCACCCACGACGTCGATGTCGCATATCTGAAAGACAAGATATCGTGGGAAAAGTTGACACGGCTATGGAAGAAGCGGTTCATCGTGGACGGCGCACCTGCACTCGCCATCAACCGTCTCTTCGGCATGACGCAAGGCAACACAGCAACACGTGATTGGCTCACGGAATGGGAGAAGATCGCGGCAACGTCCGGTCTCGACTTGCCATTTCCGCATTTGCGCCGCGAGTTCTACAACAGGTCATGTGTTGCATTGAGCCTCGCACTTGGTGATCGCGAGCAATATGCAACCTTCGTTGAAATCATTGACAAGGCGAGGGAGATCATCAAGACCAACAGGGTAGCTGCATACGAGAAGTCAGCGTGGCATCCAACCTATGTGGAGAAGGTGAGAACTGGTCCGCGACCGCAGCAGTTCGCTGCAGTCCAAACGGACAACATTATGGAAAACCCGACAGCCACCCAAGCGTCACGTGAGGGAGATCATGTGGCTGCTGTCCAGCTGCGAAGCAACAACAAGCCCCGAGGAAACGGGAAGGCGAAAACCGCATCGCCGGCCGGAAACGGACAGCCAACACCATGGGTCAAATTTACCTTGACCGAGTCCGAATATAAGTACCGCGGCCGCTACGGCTGCTGCTATTGGTGCAACAGCACCAAGCACAAGACCTCCCAATGCCTTGATCAAGGCAAGGAGGATGTTCGGCCTCGTATTAACTCGGGAAACTGAGTCGCGCAGGAGGTGAGGCGACTCCACCTCTCACTCCGCCAGATTCGACCGCCTTGCTAACGGCCTCCTACACATCTGGGGAGGATGCGCATGTCGCAAGTCCTTGGTACACTTACGAGGATTATGCTGTCCACTTGGTCCCACCGCTGGACCAACCGCTCCATGTGCAACAATCTACCGCATGCACAGTTTCATCACCATCGACAACCGATTCGGCAGTTTCGCCATCATCTACCGTCGGGGATTCAACGTCATGGTCAAGACTTGAAGAGCTCGACTCGTTGACATTTGCGGACTTCCAATGGATGTCCCTTCCCCGGTCCGGTCGATTGTCAAAACCGCATTGCAACGTGCTTATGGCACAATTGCGGGATTACTTGCGTACTGCAGTACCAACTCCGTTGATGGACGCCGGAGTAGAGGTTGTCGACCTTCACGCCTACATTGCGAAGATCGACCGCGAGTTCAAGACGCAACGGTACGACGACATCGACGCACCATTGTTATATGTACGCATTCAAATTGGAGAGGCGACCTGCCGCGCTTTGATCGATTGCGAAGCATCTCGCAACTACATGAGCCAGGACTTTATGGTACGCGTCGGCCTTGGCCCACGCGTCCGGAGGAAGTCCCAGCCGACGCAAGTCACGTTGGCGGACGGTCACACGCATAAGTCAACAGACTGGTGCATTGATGACGCCCCAGTGTACTTTGCCCCGCACGCGAGTGAGGCGGTATCCTTCGATATTTTGGACACCAAATTTGACATGATCTTGGGCATGTCATGGCTGCGAAGCGAGGATCACCCGGTGAACTTCTACCGCCGCATCGTTTATGTTCGTGATCAGAACGGAGTACTAGTCCCATGCATGGTAGCTCCTCCTCACTCTTCAATCAGCGTTCACGTGGTGTCCGCCGCAAGCATACGAGCTTCCATCACCAGAGACGACATCGAGGAGATGGGGGTATGTTTTCTCCACGTCCTCCCGCCCCATGACGCTTCATCGATTGACTCATCTTCGGACCCACGCATCATCGAGATTCTCGATGCCTACAGTGACGTGTTCGAAAGCCCGCACGGAGTAGTGTCGGATCGGCCCATCCGTCATGAGATTATCCTCAAGGACGGGGCCGTACCTCCGCACGGTTGCATCTACCGAATAAGCGAGGAAGAGTTAAGTGTGCTTCGGGGATAACTCGACGACCTTCTGGAGAAAGGCTGGATTCGGCCTAGCTCATCGTCATACGGTGCTCCTGTTATCTTCGTCAGGAAGAAGAACAAAGATTTGTGGTTGTGCATCGATTATCGCAAGCTCAACTCCCAGACGATCAGAAACGTCGGCGCTCTCCCACGCATCGACGACCTTCTCGAACGACTGGGCGGCGCCAAGTTCTTCTCCAAGCTGGACCTCCCGTCGGGATATCACCAACTCGAGATTTGGAAGGAGGACCGCTACAAGACCGCGTTATATGGGCATTTCGAATGGCTGGTTATGCCATTTGGCCTTACAAATGCCCCGGCCACTTTCCAAGCGGCTATGACAACGGAGTTCCGACACATGCTGGATCATTTCGTATTTATCTACCTCGACGACATCCTGGTGTACAGTCGGAGTTTGGACGAGCATGTGGAACACCTGCGCACCGTTTTGGAGCGGCTACGACAAGCCAAGTACAAAGCCAACCGTGACAAATGCAATTCGCGCGACAGGAGCTGGAGTACTTGGGAGATTATGTGACGCCTCAAGGCATCCGTCCATTTGCGGACAAGATCGAGGCCCTCCGCCTATGGCCCGAGCCCACCAACACCACGGACGTTCGTTCATTCATGGGGTTGGCGGGCTACTATCAGCGATTCATCACCGGATACTCAAGGATTGCTGCACCTATGACGAGATTACAATCGCCAAAGGTGCCATTCGTATTCGATGACGACGCACGCCGGTCATTCCAAGCACTTAAGACGGCCATGCTCATGGCACCCGTCCTTAGCATCTATGACCCCACCCTGCCGACGAGAGTGACTACAGACGCTTTCGGCTATGGCATTGGGGCAGTTCTGGAACAGCACGACGGCGACGACTGGCACCCTGTGGAGTATTTCAGCCACAAAGTGCCTCCCATCAACTCGCTTGATGATGCAAGGAAGAAGGAGTTGCTCGCGTTCGTGATGGCTCTCAAGCAATGGCGGCACTTCCTCCTTGGGCGTCGTAGGTTCACATGGGTTACGGACAACAACCCACTGACTTACTACAAGACGCAGGATACGGTGAGCAGCACGATTAGACGATGGATGTACTTCATCGACCAATTTGACTTCACACCGAAACATTTTCCCGGCCTCTCCAATCGTGCAGCAGATGCACTCTCGCGAAGACGTGATCTTTGCGCTATGACACATCATGCCTTCGCATTCGACGAGGAGCTCCAGCGACATTTCATCAGGGGCTATGAGTCCGATCCTGACTTCGCCATGCTATATGCGCAGTTATCTTCGGATCACCTGCCGGCCAGCCACTATCGCATCGTCGATGGGTACTTGCTCCTGCACTCGCGGGGCAAGGACTTACTATGTGTTCCACGCGACCACTGTCTTCGGACTCGCTTCCTCGGCGAGTATCATGATTCGCGACTCGTCGGCCATTTCGGAGTCAATCACACTATTGCACGGTTTCGACAGCGATTCCGATGGCCCGACCTCATCACCGACGTCACGAGGTATTGTGACTCGTGCGAAGTTTGCCAACGAACCAAACCCCGCAACCGCAACCCCTACGGCGAGCTGCGCCCGATGCCGATCCTGCATGAACCCGGTCTCTCCATTGCCATGGATGTCACCGGACCATTCCTCCGCGACCGCCTCAGACACGACGGCATCCTCACGGTCGTGGACCGATTGAGTAAGTACATGCGTTTTCTCCCTTGCAAGTACTACTCCACGGCTCCCGAGCTGGCACGCCTGTTGCACACCGGTTGAATTTGTGGCCACGATGTACCAGAAGACATAGTTAGCGACCGCGACACTCGCTTCATGTCGGCATTTTGGACTGCTCTCATGCAGGAGTCCGGCACGAAGATGAAACCAAGTTCGGCTCGGCATCCACAGACGAACGGGCAAACGGAACGGGCACATCAAACCGCTCAAATGATGCTTCGTACGCTGATCCATCCAGACCAGAAAGGTTGGGTTGACCGCCTCCCCGACATCGAGCTCGCCTACAACACTTCGGTGCACCCGGCGATCGGCGTGACTCCATTCGAGTTGCACCACAGTGGACGGAAAGGCCGTATCTTCGCCGACCTTCTCCTCCCACGACCAGCCGACATCGACGCCGCTTGCTCTCCCGCTTCCGTCCGGAAGTACAGGGAATTGCCGGCTCAAGCCCGCTCGAACATGCAAAAGGCTCAAGTCCGCATGCAGCAGCAAGCCAACAGGCGTCACGTGCCATGTCCCATCCACGCCGGTGATCTGGTTTGGGTCTCCGCGAAAGAGTTTGCACTGGAACAGGATGTTTCACGCAAACTGCTTCCGAAGTGGTTTGGACGATGGCCCATAACATCAGCCGCGGGCGATGAGCCCAATGGCCCTTCATTTGTGATCAACATCCCGGCGCATCTTACGGTCCATCCAGTCTATCACGCCTCGAAGCTGGTAACATATACACCAGCTAAGGGCGACGACTTCCCAGGCTGGCGATCGCGGGACCCTCCATCTATGGATGGTTCATCAGGAGGTTGACCGCGTCATCATGGATCGCAAGTACGACAACAAGCCTCGCCAGTACAAAGTTACATTTAGAGCATGCGATCCCGACGACACTCGGTGGATTTCAGAAACAAATTTGAAAGCATCTGCACCGCTGATCTACGCTCACTACGAGCGACAGAGGTTAGCTAAGGGACCTTCACTACCTGCCCCTCCCACCCGGACTGTGGTCCCTCCCTCAGACAGACAGCTTCGCCCTCGCAGGTAAGCTCGGTTCTTCAAGGAGGGGGGGGTGTGGCATACTGCGTAGCCACACGTCCCGCATTCTCAGCCTAAGAGCTTAGAAAATAGGGCTTACAGGCCCCATGTCGTTTCAGCCTGAAACTGAAAACGTTTCGTTTCAGCCTATAAGAGGGTTTTTCAGCCCGGAGGCTTTTCAGCCAGAAACGGAGGGCCACTTTCGGGCCCTCATAAGATCGACCTACCCTAAGACTCAGGTACAAAACCAGGGTTTTGGGAACATGCTATTTCTGGCCTGTTCCCCATGACAGCCTTGAGCAGGAGCTGCGGCGGCAACCCCTGACTGCCTTCGGCATTGGCAAGAGCAACCTCCTGGACTGCCTCGCCTGCAGCCAAGAGGTACCCGAGTAGTACATAGGAAGTTCCCATGCACTTCACGGGTAGGTAGTTGGACAGTAGGACGAGTAGTCTTCAGGATTTAGCCGCAACACTCAGGAGGAGCGCTGGCAGTAGTAGTTAGCGCTAGCCGTAGTCTTCAGCGTTGGGCGCTCATAGCTGTAGTAGTAGTCTTCAGCGTTGGGCGCTCATAGCTGTGGTAGTAGTCTTCAGCGTAGGGCGCTAGTAGCTGGTAGTGGTAGCGTTGGAGAGAGATGGCTGGCGGAGGCCAACGGTACTTACCTGTGGCGCCATAGCTCCAGCTCCATCGAGGTACCTGCATCAAGGCGCCAACTTCACAGGTTAGTACTGGGCACAGAGAGAGAGAGAGTTTTTCTTCCTCTTCTAAATCCACCATCTCTTCTCATCCTCTCACCACCTGACTTCTCAGGATCAGCAGACTACGACAGAGAGAGAGAGAGTTGTGACTTGAGACTTGACGACATTGGATCCAGACTCGACATTTGGGATTCAGACATTTTGACGA